GAAAATCGTGAGACAGACAGATAATATTTACAGCGTCTGTTCGGGCTCAAAATTTTCAAGAATGAAATATATAAATATATATATATTTTTGGATGTCTCGAAGAGAAAGAAAGCGGCAAAAATACGACCACAGCGCAGACTTTTGTATAACGTATAAGGCATAAGAGAATCAAACAATCAGAATCCTTCCTATATCCTTCCATTTCACGGAAAAAGGCACTTTTTTCATTGGTCGATTCTTTCATGCGCTACGCTTTAAACAAACGTTTATGCTGCAGTCTTTTATTTTATGAATTACGACCGTCTCAAGTCACATTCTTTTAAGACGTCACGAACCAATCGCAGAGCCGTATTTGCGTCTTAAAACATTACTTGAGACGAGTACGCAAAAAAAAAAAAAAAAAAAAAAAAAAGAGATTAACCTTCTCTGGCGAAAAAACTATATGGTTCCATTTCGTCGATCGGGAATATCGACGAAATAAATCGAACGCGAAACCGGCTGCTAACGGAACGTCAAACGATCTGTCGAATCGCTTCTGGTGAAGAAAAATTCCGCCGTTATTCACCGTTATCCGCCGTAGAATCTACGGAGAAAGTACGCGGCTCGCGCGATACACCCCGTATACACGCATTCCCTCGGAATTACATATTCTCGCGAGATATCGCGGTCTCGTGCGCGGCGGCCACGGGAGGGGGGACATAGTCGTGACGCTCGAACGCATGCACTTACGCCAATGTGCACGCGCGAACGCACGCGATTCCTCTCTCGCGCGCGGCACGTTCCGACGCGCGAGACGTCGCGAGAAGATATAAGGTATATAAATGTACCAGTTCGTGGACACGACCCACGTGTTGGACAAATTGTGACAATTTTCAATATTAAGCTTTTTGATGATACGTGTTACTCTAAATAAATTTTTAAGCAATTTTTCATATGTTATTTAGAAATTAAGGTATTATATAATTTATTCATATTAAAAATGATACTTTTGTAAAAAAAAATTTCGTTTACGGACAATTATTAAGAACATTTATTAAGGACATTCACACATATGCGTGTACCAATTATTGGACATTCCTTAGCGTACCTGTCTACTGCAAACATATTTTGTATATATTATACGTATAAAACTTTATACAAAACTTCACTAATTACAATTTCGATAAACTTTTTTGACAATCTTGATTGATAAGTAAGTAAAATGCGTTTCTCTTCTATAATAAGAAAATTGTTTATTATTTGTCCAATAATTGGGTCATACTTTTGTGGACAGAGACACGTCACATTTTTTGTTTGTCCAATAATTAGGACATTTGAATCATATTACATTTATGACTAAATACAATTTATAGTAAACGCAAATAACATATTTGATAATGGATTTAGTTTCAGAAAACATCCATTCTTACTAAGCATGTGTAATAAACTAAAATTTTAATGTTTCTAAAATTTAAATAAATGATTTCGTCGTGCAATTCCTTAACTGTCCAATAACCGGTACATTTACCTCATATAAGCGATGGATAGAGCCCACCGATGTAAGAGAGATTAAAAAGAATATTCAAAAGAGGTCGATTTTTATCGATATTCAAAAAAGGCAAGTAAGGTAGGGATATATAGTTGTGCCACTTTTTTGTTTAAATTATTATAAACCTTCACACAATTATGACAGACTGATGGTAAATGCTTTAGAACGTTGCATGTTTATCTACCTCAACAATTAAGTACTTATAAACCTTTAATGTATCTCGTAAATTATTGTAGAAAGAAATTACGTTAATTGCGAAGATGCAAAGTGGATCAATATGCCCCACCAATGGGGAGTATATCGGGCAACTCCGAAGGGCAAGTTGAGCCATGAAAGTAATTGTGATTAATGTTACATATAATTAAAAAAAATTGTAGGATTAGATGAGAGTTAACGAAGTCGTTATTAGGATAGTTTGTAACTTATTTCTATAATAATTTGTATTTTCTTTGTAAATATTTACAAGAAAAGAACAAAAATAAAACTAAAGTTTTCATGGTAAATATTATGCATAAAATATGTCTTTAATGTTAAAAGTATAACAAAATATAAGTATAAATAAATAACTATTGAGTTTAGCTTCCTCACCTCCGATGTTAATAAAATTAAGCTTGTTCAATGCGCACGAAATGAATGAATCTGGTAAAAGAGTGTCCCGCGAACCAAGATATTAGTTGTTGACAGATATTCAAAGGGGTTATACAAATTCTGTTTTATAAACAAATTCTCTGCTTTAAAAATACAAATTTTTTTGCTTCAAAGACAAATTATGTCTTACATGATTTTTTTTCTACAGTAGAGAATTTGTGTAATGAAAACGGAAAATTTTTATTTTAGTTTCACTCACATGTTCTCATGTCTCTTTCTGCCATTGACGTGACAGATTTCCTAACCTACCGTCAATTTTATTAATGTCTCGGTCCAGAGTGACACTTTTTTTGCCAGATTCGTTTATTTCGTGCAAAAATGCGTCGAACGAGCTTAATTTTATCAACATCAGAGGTAAGGAGGCTAAACTTAACAATTACCGAAATGATTTCAATGTATAGTGGGGTTAGTTGGGTCACTTGACTCAAATATAATTTTATAACAACAAAACTGTAAATGAAATAACAACTTTGACGTTGACGACGTTTGACGAGCTCTCGAGAAAAAGTAATAATATTAAAATTGAAATGAATTGACGGGCAATTGAGAGCTGATGAATCGACGCAGTTATTAGTGCATATAATTGACAAAAGTATATTTACATATAAATTTTAAATTCATTTCGTTGGTCCGTTTTCAAAGATACATTTCACTTGCATTATGGTTTAATCGAAGTTAGCGGCTGTATCCCACTTAACTTAACAGTTAATTATTAGTGAAGCTACTTAAATTATGAAATTGAAGAGGCTCTTTGGCTGCTTCCTTGGATCTAAATCAAGCGAATAATGTTCTACTTCCATTGTTCTACATCGCTGATGATGGCTCGAATGTAGTCAAAACGTCCGAAAAATTCTTGGGAAATTAATGTAAGATTTATATGTAAATATACTTTTGTCAATTAATATGCACTCTAATAATTGCGTCGATTTATTAGCTCTCAATTACCCCGTCAATTCATTTTAAATAGTTTAATTTTAATCTTGGTTCAACTAGTTAACCTGTTTCTTTCTCGTTCTAAGAATCGAAAAGATGAAAAACAAAATTGAATCGAGACTAAAGTTAATCTACATTGACCAGACACGAGCATTAGACAGAAACATTCGAAACTCACATATTGACACGAGTAGGTTATCATCAGTCGTACTCTTTTTAAAGCCGCAAAACTTCATCGTTAATTAATATTTTAGATTTTCTTATCTATTATATTAAAAATTGCCATAAAAATTATTAATAATAATTACTTGAATTCTATAATTACTTGAAATTTGATTTAAAACAGATACCTACCTACATTTATTACAATAAATAAAAGAATTATACTCCGTCCTTCCGGATCATAATATTTTGTTGAAAAGTATACACGCATATACTTTCTTTAAAATTCTTGTATAATAGTAGAATCTAACTCGCGAAAGAGAGTGAAATCTCAATCTTCAAAATTGATAAATGAGCCACTCATTTCAACTAGAGCTCTAGATTTATAAGAGTAGCGCAAACTGCCCACCATTTTTCATCTGTACACCACGGTGCGAAATATGAACGAGATATAGGCTGCCTTCACCGTTTGACAAGATCAACTGTATATATCGAGTATAGAATTTGTCATTTTTAACTGACTGTTCAATATTAAATATTATAGAAACACTAAATTCAAATAGAATGGCATTTCTTATTTATTAACATTGCAAAATATACAGAGTGTCTCGAAAGTTTCTTCCAATCGTTTTTGTATAGATAGAGCAAACTAAATTCAATCGAAAAGTCCTGTATCACTTTGCAAATTTCGCGACGGTTAATGAGATATTAATTTTCAAAGATAGACCGAATATTGGTCTTTAATAATTTTTTTCTCAAATGCCATCCACTTTACAGAAAAACTGCAAGGGACAAAAATGGCGTATCTTCTTCTCATAGAACTCTAAAAATTTCTTTCAGAATTTTTTGTTAACTTTTTAGCACTGCATCTTCTTATTGGCAACTATTTTCACCAACATGAAAAATACAGTACTCAAAAATTTTGAAAAAATTCTGAAAAAAAATTTTCAGAACTTTATGAGAAGAGAAAATAAACAATTTCTATCTCTCGCTGCTATTTTTTCCGTAAAGTTGACAGTATTTGAGAAAAAAATTATCGAAGGCCAATATTTTTTCGGCTAACTTAAAAAATTTATATCTCGTTAACCATTGCGAAATTTACAAAACGATAAGAGAACCTTTCGACTCAGTTTAGTCCGCTCTATCTACACGGAAAGCGATTGGAAGAAACTCTCGGGACACTCTGTATAAATGTCAAATCGGTTATATAACGTCTATGTCATATTATATTGCATATTTATTAATATAGTATATACAGTGGAATATTTTCCCTTTTATCTACTGCGAAAAGCAGCCGACTGCACAACACTGCGGCATCATCGTTCAAAAATATAAAACATAAACACTAATTAAACGTTAATTTTAAATCGAGCGCATTCCTAGCTGTCGCTAAAACCGTCACACGAGCATAAAATTACAATGACGATCGAAAGAAAAGAAGGGCGAAAACGCCACTCTATTACGCTACTCCAGTAAATAATCTAGAGCTCTAATTTCAACCGACTGAACTCAATTGTCACGGCTTTAGAATTAGATGCCTTTTCTCTCGTGATTTCCAGACACATGGTAACTCAGCTCTAAAAACACGAGGGACCGGCATGGTCCACCTCGTGGCGCGTGGCGATCCGCTCTCTCTCTCTCTCTCTACCGGGGCGGGAATTATATATTCCATCCGCTCATTCCGCCGCGGGTGCGAAAGAAGAATAAAATCTCGTTTCTCTTACGTACCTATCCCGAGGATCGATCCATGTAGTCTTCCGGGTGTTGTGATCGATGAAGTACACCTTCCCGTCGAAGTCGTGAGCGACGTCCCAACCGTCCGGAAGCGGTATCTCCCCATTCCGTCTCCTGGGCATATTTCACTGCGCTCTAAATCCATCCAAAATCTCTCTCTCTCTCTCTCTCTCTCCCTCTCTCTCTCTCTTATCGTCGTGCGGTCGACGGGAGCATATCTCTGCGGGCGCACGCACGGCGCGCTCGCACGACGGGGACGCGAGGAGAGACCGGAGAGACGCGCGGAGGAGCGGGTGAGAGACCGACAGTAAGAGAGGACGGGCGATCCGGCCGTAGAAGGGCAGGTGGACGGACGAGGACGGATGAAGCGTAACAGCCACGCAGAGGGAACACAGAGAGAGGCGAGATCAGGAGCCCGTACGCCACTCGCATACACACGTCGCTCGCTCGCTCGCTCGCTCGCGCGCGCGCGCGCACTATTCCGCCATCATGAATATCTCATTATCATGAGCGGAGTGTGACGTCAGAGTCCCCGCCTTCGGATTCCTCTCCCTCTCTCTCTCTCTCTCTCTCTCTCTCTCTCTCTCTCTCGGGAGTGGAATTCCACCGTTAAGCACTGTGTGTGTCAGCTGCCGCGAGGAGCGGCCGCTCTCTCGCGCGCGGGCACGACGAACCGACAACGGTGATGGGAGAGACCCCCGACGATGTCGTGGTTATTACTCTCGCATATCGATCAGGTGCAGCACACTCGGCGGCGTGTATTCTCACCACCACCGCCACCTCCACCACCACCACCACCGCCACCACCCCACCGCCACCACCACCGGCGATCACCTTCCTCCTTTATTTATCCTCTTCGAGATTGATTTATTTACTTTCCTCTCTCTCTCTCTTTCTCGCACAACACAGAGATCTCCTTTTTCGCGCGCCGAACGGAACGACCGCGACGAGACGACGACACGGTCGGGTAGTACAATATCGTCACGCGCTTCTCACTCCTCCTCCGGACAGTACCGGAGCATCCTTCCTCCTATCCCTTTCCCGCCGGAGCGACAACGACACCATCAAGGGTCCCCGCACTCCGAAACGCGCGCGGTCGAATTCGAATATTTTTCGAATCGCCACAACAAACTGTAGCGCTCTCTACGCACGCACGCACATACACATACGCGTATTACCCGCGCACAGCTTCCCCCCGCGGGTAATCGCGATCGTCCGCGAACCTGACTCCTCGGCACGGAGCCCGCTCTCCTCCGGCGAAAAACGCTGTTAGCGGACGCGTCGTGACCGCGACTGCGGGTGACGAAGGAAGACCGCGCGGCGCGACACGACCCGTTTCGAGGCGACTTCCAGAGCGTACAGAGAGGCACCGCGCGCTATCCGGCCCCGGCTCCGTCCGTTGCGCGCGCGTTTCACCCGCGGTTGGTGTTCCCCTTTTCTTCGCGTTGCATTAGCCGCCGCCACCGCCGCCGCTCTGTGCGATGCTAATGCAACGAGCGCGGCGGATCTTGGCCGTTTTTCACACGCAGGAATGTGGGAACTCGACGCTGCCCTCGCTCTCTCTCTCTCTCTCTCTCTCTCTCTCTCTCTCTTTCTCTCACCGTTTTCTTCTCTCTCCTTTTTGCACGTCGCACTCTCGCATTCCCGTTCGACTTGACACTCGCGATTAACGACGAGGACGAGACCGTCTCTTAACTGTCCACTGGATACCCTCCTGGATCTCCCGGTCGGATTGGTGAACGATGAGTGTCTCTCTCTCTCTTAGACACACACCTTTCGTACCTTCACAGTCCGAGAATAACTCCACGTTCTCTGCGCGCGACGCAACACGCGTAACTCACCGCGTTTCGTTCCTCGCGACGACGGACGGATTTTCTCGTTTCCGACGATACTACCACCTCGCGTCACAGCTACGAGCATGCCGAGTGTTTGAGACATGCCACTGGACGTTCATGCCGTGCGCGCCGCCTGGCAATACCTCTCTCTCTCTCTCTCTCTTTCTCCCGCTCGCGTTCTATCTCGTCCCCCCTCCACTACCCTTTCATCCGTATTCACCACGCCGCCGCGAAGAACATAGCTGTCTCCCACCAGGCGGGTCGTGACGTGTGTTGTCTTAACTCGTCCAACGCGTGGACGTCCGTCCTCGTCGCTCGCTCGGTCGTCCCCTTCCCATCCGCACCGGCCGTCCCGTCTCTCTTTTACAAACCCCTGTCGATAATCCTTTTTGTATGTGTCGGGGGCCCGATCGTCACGCGCCGCCCCAGCGAAAGACAGCGGGGAATAAACGAGCGTGTTTGCCCTTTCGTACGTTCGCATATTTGCCGCTACGTGACGAAAACGGCGCCATCGTGTGATACGCCGTGAGGTGGCAAGCAGAGAGAAACCTGAGAGAGAGAGAGAGAGGCCATGGGCGACCTTAGCCGCCGTACGCTAGCGGCACCAACATCAATTTTAGAAAGTTGATGTGAACTACGGTGTCACAATTTTCGACACTGTCGATAAAATCGTAGGGTCGATATATGGATCAGGCGCGAAATCCACAAATATATGTATAAAGAAACAAAAGTATGTCGAAGAAGGGCAAAGAGCCAGTAACGCAATTAAGAAATTTAAATTTAAATGACAAAAGATCATGTAAATAAAAGTTCAATATAAATAACACAAAGAAATTTAATATAAATAATACATACGTTTCGACTCCGATTCTCAACAGTAAACATAATACAAAAATTTGTGTGTTATAGAAGTTATATTTCTACATTGAATCTATAGAATTCATCATACTAACGTTGTTTCCACAATGATTAAAATTCATTATTCAAAATTTCGCATTCCTCATCTTGTATAATATCTTATTAAATCACAGAAGTAATCTAAACAGAGACCGTACGGACAAAAGAGATTGTTTTATGTACTAATAAGAAAGCAAAAGTTCACAAAATGTCTAACTGTAATCGTGTACCTCGTCAGTTATATGTATTAAAGCTTCATGTCAGTTGATAATTTTATTTACACGATTATACATCTTGCTCACTTATTAGTATATAAAAAATACGGTCTCTATTTAGATTACTTCTGATTTAATAATATATTATGCAAGATGAAGCATGCGAAATTTTGAATAATGAATTTTAATCATTGCGGAAACAATGTTTATGATGAATTCTATAGAATCAATGTAGAAGTATAACTTCTATAACGAATTTTGTATTATATGTTTACTGTAACATTGAGAATTAATGACCCGATCGGAGTCAATTATTTATATTAAATTTCTTTGTGTTATTTATATTAAACTTTTATTATTCACATGATTTTTATCATTTAAATTTAAATTTCTTAATTGTGTTACTGGCTCTTTGCCCTTCTTCTATATACTTTTTGTTTCTTTTATACATTGAATTATAAATTTCTAGTGAATTAATGTTTATTTCTGACCACTGTCTATGCATATAAATATAATAATTCATATAAAATCTTTCCTAAGAGTTTCTTCATAATCATATTGGAATAAGAGGATACAGAATAATAATTTCAATCTATATCAGATTCCGTGCACTTTGAAACGCACAGTTTTTGATAGGGTTGAAGTTTACATTTTCAAGTCCTGCTTGACCGTCATCGGCCGATACATTATCACATTTACATTGCTTTACATTTTCAATTCTACATTTTTTATTCCTTTTATTCTACCGGACACTAACACGTGTAAATGGACAGTTAAGGACTGCGCAGAATAAAAGGAACAGGGAACAGCAGAGATCAGAGAATAAGAATTTCAACCTATCGGAAATCATATACTGTGGAATACACACTGTTTATTCCACGACATACGATTTCTGATAGGTTGTAATTCTTTCTCTGTTCCTTTTATTCTGAGTAGCACCCCCCGCGCCCCTGGACCGAAGAGAACCCGGAGCAGGCGCAATCATCGCCACGAAGGCGTATCGCGAATGATTGCGAACGCTTGCTCGATGACTCCGTCGTCGGCCACGTGACCGTCCAACGTATAAACAACACACGCATCACGCACATACGTACACGGGTGCGTGTGCGGAATACGGATGTGGAGCATATGTTAACGCAAGTCTTACGCCTGTCGCCTGATCGCTGAAAAAGTTGGATTCTTCCTCGATTCACAACAAGATACGGTGGGCATCGTGATCACCCGAACAAGGATTCTTTCCCCCCGTCTTTTTCAAGGGGACAGGTGTCCGTTAAGCAAAAGAGAATGGCGACGTCCGAAAGTGACGCCGACTTTGAAAGCGCCGACGAGGAATTGGGTCGCGGGGTCGTCGTTAAGAAAAACATCCGGACGGCGGCACCCTACCGTACGACGATTGACTCCGAGTCGGACGATGATACTGAATATGTTCCACGCGCGCCTTGTGGTATCGCCAACTGGCAGAGCAGATCTGAGACTTTCCGGATGACGCCAGATGTGTCGACGGGGCTAAAGACCTTGGTCGATAATGAGGATGATAAGATAGATAATAGTGTCAAAGTTGAAAGTGATGTACGTACCGCCAAGTCAATTGGTTGTATAGAGAAGGCCGTTGGCGAACGAGAGACTACATCCTCCTTTGAATCGAGAAAACTCTCATCGACCTCCGTGAAATCAGTAAAGGATAAAGAATCTGTGGTAAAGAGTAATAAGATCTTGAAATCAGATGTCATGTCTGAAGTAGAAGCTACAAAAACCAAGTTGGATGACAAGGAGATCTCCCAAACAGAACAACAACAAGGTACCATTGGTCAATTAAATGCAAAAGAATTAGGAACTAGACTTACAAATGATAAGGTCGATGAACCTTGCGTCAATGTAACTACGGAACAGGAAGATCCAGCCGAGTGTTCAAATGAGAAATCCTTACCGTTTGCGAGCAAAAGTGCCGAATGTAAATCAGAAGAAAAATCGAAAACTCAAATAACAGGTAATCAATCTAAACCATCAACTGATTTGTCGGAAATGGACATGCCGGAAGAATTAAAGTCAAATAAAAAATTTAAAGAAGTTTTTCAGCCTGAAGGTTGGGAAGGACTCGGAGATGACATTGAGTTGCCTGATGACTTGACAGACGAGAAATTACAACCTATGTTACAGAGGCTCTCCTTGGCAAACAAAGAAGAAAGCAAAGACGAAGGTTCTTTAGGTAGCTGGGGCAGTTGGGGAAATTGGGGTGTAACTTCGCTAATCAATACAGCTACCGCAAGTGTATCTACTCTAACTAGTCATGTATCTCAAGGATTTACACTTTTGGAAGATACAATAGTACAGGATCCTACAGAATCAGAAAGCATAAAACAGTATGCAGTTCCTGAAACTGATGGTACAATATTTAGCACAAATTCTATATAGCATTATGACTTTGTATATTTAATAACATATATATATATATATATATATATATATATAATTTTTCTTATTTTTATGTATTTATAACTTTGCGTTTTTGTACTGAATATATCAATTATTATGAAAATAAACAGTTAACGTATGTACAATTCTATCTTTGCTAATTTGCGTTAATAGGGGCACAGCCAGAGATCCAGGAACAAGAAAGTCGACCGTTCAGTTCGTTCGGATTTGGGAATTTGATATCAGGAGTGTCCTCAATTACAAAATTGGTTGAATCCACCAGTAGCAAAGTTATGACGGGTGGTTTAGATACATTGGAGGCTATCGGAAAGAAAACAATGGAGGTATTGCAAGAAGGTGATCCTGGATTAAAGAAAAAAAGGGCCTTTTTCATGAACGAGTCGGAGAAACCGAATTTATCTCAAATTCTCCGAGAAGCGAAAGAAAAAGCCGAGACCGAGGAGAAAACGATCGAGGAACGCGAATTAGCGAGGAAGGTGCATTTCGAGAGTCTGTTTGACGATTATCAAGGACTCGTTCACTTAGAAGCTCTAGAAATGTTATCAAAACAGAGTAATATGAAAATTCAACAATACTTAATCGAGCTGGGTACAAATGACTTGGCATCTGTGCAAGAAACATTAGAAGAAATCAAAGAACTTTGTGATCTAGGTGATGAAGATGACAATGAAGAGAAAGATAAAGATAATAAAGATTTGAATAATAGATTAAAGAGCGCTTGTAACGATCTTGGTGTTGATATTACTTATGAAAAATTATACGATGTAAGAAAATATATCCGTATCAAAATCAAATCGGTTTATCGTCATGATGAAAACATCTCTGTATTTTCAGGTTTGGACAGAAACGGAAAATTATCTTGCATTATCCACGACGCGTACAGATCAGGAAATCTTTCAGAATGCTATATCGACATTGGCACAGTTTACAGCATTCTCCGTAGAGAGATTTCATAAAACGGCAGAATTATTGTTAATTAAAGAACGTCGCAGTACAGTGAATGAAGCAGATGCCTTGGTACAACTTACCAATGTTCTATCTAATCAGATTAGCTTATTGGCCAATTCATTTTGTGATACATTACATCAGTTTGCCAAAACTACAAAAAAACCAGATAACATCAACGCGAATATTACAACGATTTTCTTAGAAGTAAGTACTTTGTTGAATAATTCAAGTAACATGATGATTGTAATATTAAAAATTGCCTTTTTCGCACAGGCTGCAAATGCAAATTCATATATTCAAGATGCCTTTGAACTTCTTATTCCTGTTCTACAAGTTGGTGCAATCTAATGAATAACTATTAAATAGATTTAAAATACACTTTTTTATACTTTATATTTAACAGTATCGTATAGATTAAATACAATTTCTGGTAAGCATGAAGCATAATATTATCCCGTCTTCCCCCGTTTCGTAAACATTTTCTATTTTATCTTTCAAAACAGTATCTATATTCGAGAAAGGGATCAATATTTATTGTTAATTTTATTAACAATGTATTACTTAGATTACTTAATTTAATATATTGTTTGCCGTTATTGGTTTTTGTAGCATTTTGTGTTATTATCAAACACGCAAGATAGTTACAGATATATACATTTGATAATATCTACATGTATACATTAAGATCTATTAGACTTTTTTTTTTTTAGTACAAAATTATTTTCATGTATCTGTACACTCTAATGCACATATAAATATATATTATTATAAAATAATTAAACTTTAGATATTTAATATAAAAGTATAATTAATGTGTAAGATACGGAACATCTGTAACATAAGGTACAAATTTCAGTAAGGATTACGCTATGTATATATCGAAAATACATGTAAAAAAAAATTAAGAATATCACAATGATTAATAATGATCAATATAAAAATACTTTTGTCTCAACATGGTCATTAACATTAACAATCTGGTAGAGGAGATTTTACAACGTGTATTGAGGATAACAACTTCTATATTACAAAAAAATAGTTCGAGTCGAATGATCAATGTTTTCCTCGTTTATTACCAACGGGAGGCTTTTGAAGTTGAAAGTTTGAACTGGTTCCGTTTACTGGCAATGGTGAAGTCAAATTAATCGGCGCATTAAAATTTAAACTTGCTGTTGGCGGTTTCGTAGATGAGCCTACAGCAATATTAGTAGCAGATGGTACTGGTGTTGAACTTTCCCAAACTGTAACAATATATATATTAACATTGTTACACTTTTAATTCACTTAGAAGGGATGTAAAAAAAACTTGTGTAACAGCGCTGAAGCCACGGAGTAATATCTCTTTTATCATTAAAAAGATAAGACAGCGTTCACATATTTTTGAGATGATAATTGTATTTTGAAACAGCCATTTTATCATATTAATACCATTTCTTGTTAAATATATAATTAATGTTTTTATATTAATTGACATTCTTGTTACTATCACCATAAAAATATTTGTATATACATTTATGGTCTTTTTAATTCTTAAATTTTTTTTACTTTGAAATCAATTGAAAAATTGCAGGGAGAATGTATATTTTAACATTTCTACACATATCCTGCAAAATTTTATTCGACTCCGTGACGAATTCAATAATATTTTTTTTAATAGTATCATATTTGCAAGCATAATTACATAACATTGGCAAAGCCGAAAGCAGTCAAAGCACACTTATAGAAGGCATTATCCTTTGTTAAAAGAAGCATGATTTTGAAATTGAGTCTTTCGATAGCATCTCAATGCAAAGTATATAAAAGATCAACAATGACGTAATCATCTATATAAATTAATTAGTTGATAGGAGATTTATATACAGGCAAAGAAGCGCGTTACCCTTTTTCCATCGCGACAATAACAAGAGAAACTGAAATAAAAAAAAAAATGAATACCTCAATAATTAAATTACAGCCCCTATTTTTTTTCCTGAAAGGCAAAATCAAAGTTAGATAAGGTAAAACCAAAAGACGACCTTTTGTTAAATAAAGAAAAAAAAAAGTAGACAGGCTAAATGATTACACGTTAATTCTATTTAGTATTATAATAAACGTCGTTATATGTTAGTAAGTTCTACCTCATAACTAGATCCAGGCAAGACCTGAAGGTAGGAAATCTTTAGGGGGCAGTTAAAATAATTTTTTTTAAGGAATTGTTTACTTAGCATAAGGATAATTAAATTACAAAAAGTCAACAATGAGGCTCATTTACCTAAAGGATTTCGTGTTTCGTAACTCGCTGGCCGATTTGAGTTTAATGTCGTTGATGACAAAAAGTTTTTATTTCCTGTAAGCATTAATCTCGTTTTTCAAAATTTACAATATTCGAAATAATTTGAAGTACATGTAAAATTACCTGGTCCAAAAGGAGTGGGACCACTCGTGATTTTGCCGATGCTGCTTCGATTAGATTTATTGTTCACCTTGATGTTGTCAAAAACATTGGTATTATCCTTCAACACATATTTCCTGAAATTAAGATACTGTTCCTTCTGTTGCTGTACTTTAGCATGCACATTCTGCAGTCGACCAGCTACTGCGACTAAAGACTCATGAAGCTTACTCATGGTTGCAGTCAATTCTGACAAAGCAATATATCATTAACAATAAATCTCATTATAAATGTAATAAGAAAAATAGATCGTACCTTGTGGCGTTAAAGTTCTCGGCGTCATCATGGCTTGTATGTGTTTCTCGGTTGTCTCAATTTGTGATCTGAATAACATCAAATCTTGTTCGAAGCTTTCAGCTAATTCCATGAAAAATTGCAGGGGCATATTATTTTCATATTGCAAGCCGGCTGGAGTATCGTGTGTTCTTTGAGCTATTTCAGCGCTCTGCAACGCTCTTGCAGTGTCCTGCTTCAGCTTATCAGCTGAAGAACGATCTCGTTGCACTGAGCCAGATAACGTGGACAAAATTTCCATTAGGGACGCTGTATCTTCTGCACATCGATTCAATGGTCTTGCTGAACCTCTTGCAATATCAGAAGATAGGCCTTTTTGCATTTTTACAAATTCCCTGTAAATTACATGCTACTATACTACACGTACACTTTGTACGTCACAATAACTTATCTGTCTATCTACAAGTCAATTATTTTCTATAATTAGATAATAAAATTCATTTTACTCATAATTACTTGAATTTATCTATAGTTTGCATAAGTTCATTTGGCAACAGATTCTCCTTAGCTGCTGTTGAACTATTTCCTTGAGAAAGGCCCTTATTATTAACAGAAACATCTAAACCACCAAGTCCTTTACTAGTAGTTGTAGCAGTAAGAACAGTCGTTGGCTTTGAACCCAATAAAGTACTTCCAGTTCCAGATCCAAATAAAGGAGCTGTATATAATTTGTAATAATGAAACATAATACTAAGCATTTAATACATAATAATATCATAATAAACACAATATAATTCTTAAACTTCTAACAGTAACAACTAAAATTTGTCTCTCATCGCATTGTCTAACAACAGACCATTTTATAAGTTGTACTTTAATACAATATTATAAGAAAGTATAATTAGACATTATAACTAGACAATTTTTTTAAATTTATTAAGCATTATCACAAACATATTATAATAATAAACTTTATATTAGAATAATAATTGATTAAGAACAATATGTATATTTTACTAGCTTTAAGAATAAACTATAAAATATAAACAATCAAAATACCAAGGACAGCTGTAACAGTTATGAGTGCTAAAATCAATACTACATTATAGAATAATTGTAAAAGGATGGATAATATAAACAATTTAATATATAAATTAGAATAATATAATATAAAGTATACGTACCGTTGGTAGTAGCTGCACCAAAAGTTAAGCTTCCTGTTGCAGGTGTATTAGATGTGGCACCAAATGTTAGGGTGTTTGTTGTACCTGGTGTACCAAAACTGAGACCTGTGAATAAGGGTGTAGTCGTAGGGATAGGAAACAAACTGGGAGCAGTAGTCATTGTAGTGGCTGTGTTAGATCCTAGGACACCACTGCATTGCGCCGGAGAAGAGGTTGCTGAAGTACCAAATCCAAAATTGAGACCTATAGACGTCGTTGGAGTAGACAAGGCACCAAACGTTAATGTGCCAGACGTTGTGGTTGCGGTGCCGAACGACGTGTTACTTAAACCAAAGCCTGTCGCTGGCCTAAACAAGAGCAACACAGTTTACAATACTTCAATCAAGTCTTCTTCTTCTTCGCGGGAAATAATTTTATAGTTTCAGTTCATAATAAATATTAAATAAAAACGGTATATATATATATATATATTTGAAAAAAGTACTTTATATTATTATTTATTAAAACTATAATATTTCCAATTTGGAGGCTAGTCGGTAACATCGACTATAGTTTACTTTTGTGTCCCAAATCCAAAATTCGTGCTAGCAGAGGTGACTATCGGATTTCCGAACGTAAAAGCCATTTTTCACAGTCGAGTAAATAAATATAAATATATCACCCGCGATAAATGATTTATTTACAATCCAGTAAACACACCACGAACGTCGCAAACTCCTTGCGCTTTTTTTCGCGTTCAATCGGAGCATGCGCAGAATAATAATCGGCAGTTACGCACATTTTAACGTCAGAGAGACAGAAACCTGAGAGAAACCTGAGAGAGGCCATATGCGGCCAGCGACACCAACGTCAATTTTAAAAATTGATGTGAACTACGTATCACATTTTCGACACTGTCGATAAAATCGTAGGGTCGATACATGGATTAGGCGCGCCGAATTAATAAATTTTCGTCAGCGGCGGCGACGGGCGTTCGGTAGAATATAAATTTTAAAATAAAATCCACACGGCGGCTGATTCAGCGGATAATAATTTATCGGCGGCGCGAGGGTCCACTTCAATTGACCGCTAGCGCGCATGCGTTAAACGAGCAGTTCAGCTGTTGCGGGACAATAGTGGCGAAGTGACGTCCCTTGACGGATTATGTGACGTTCCGAGTTTCCGACAGGAAACCAAATGTTCCCGCTACGGTGCCTGGACGCGGTTGTACATAAACGCGTATCATTTCACGGTCACTGAGACTAGGTCCATAAGTACGTTGCCCTGGGGCATTCCGTCGTTCTCTTTCTTTTCTCTCTCTCTTTTCGGCACGTCTTCGTCGCTTGCGATGGCTGCGGTGAACGCAAACGTGCTGTCCAGTGACATAAGCCGTAGAAATCCCCAGGACGAGTACGAGCTTATACAGAGAATAGGCAGCGGGACCTACGGCGATGTCTACAAGGTCGGTATTTCCTTAGACTTGACCTTCCCGTCAATGTCCGCGTCAAGGCCCCAATTACTGTATCTCTTCCCCGCAGGCTAAACGTCTCTCCATGAATGACCTCGCGGCGATTAAGGTTATCAAATTGGAGCCAGGTAAGTGTTAATGTCCGCGGAGTGTCCAATGTAACATGATCATTTTAATTCACTGCTCTATTCAACTATTTGCCAATTTTTTACTTTGTACAAAATATTCTTTGTGTAAAGTGTCATTGCAATTTTTCGTACGAATCGTGTGAAATCAAGTGTGTGACAATATGGAAATACAAAAAAGATACGAAACACTTGTATACATTCTGTTTAGTTTACTGTTTGCATGTGCTTTGCGCTTCCTCTTAATAACAATGCTGAGATGTCACAAATTTTAGTATTACAACGTATGACAGCTTGCAACATCTGTATGTCTTTTAGGTGACGACTTTGCAATCATTCAACAGGAGATCTTAATGATGAAAGACTGCAGGCATCCAAATATTATTGCTTATTATGGAAGTTATTTAAGAAGAGATAAATTATGGATATGTATGGAGTATTGTGGAGGTGGATCGTTACAGGATATATATCATAGTATGTGAAATATTTATTATTTTATGTAATATATTAAAAACAACATAACACATACATTAAGCAGTTTTAATAATTAAAATATTTGAATTATATATGCTTTATAATATGTAGTCTTAAATAATTAAAATTTGATTCTAAAGCAGTTGTAATATTGAATTTTAATATATTTCTAGTAACTGGACCATTAACAGAAATACAAATAGCATATATGTGTCGGGAGACCCTCACTGGTTTAGCTTACTTACACAGCATGGGCAAGATGCATCGTGATATTAAGGGTGCCAATATACTGTTGACCGAATCCGGCGATGTAAAACTGGCAGATTTTGGCGTGTCGGCACAGATTACCGCGACAATTAATAAGAGAAAGAGCTTTATCGGTACACCTTATTGGATGGCTCCTGAGGTACATACGTGTTTAATGATAGATACTTAACATATTTTATAATTTACAATTGAGGCTCGATACAGCTGATACTTTGATAATATTCAGGTAGCAGCCGTGGAAAGAAAAGGTGGTTATAATCAATTGTGCGATATTTGGGCATGTGGAATAACCGCGATTGAATTAGCGGAACTGCAGCCACCGATGTTTGACCTACATCCCATGCGCGCTCTATTTCTCATGTCCAAGTCTGGCTTTAAGCCACCGACATTGAAGGATCGCGATAAATGGAGTCCAACGTTTCATAACTTCGTCAAAATTGCTCTCACAAAAAATCCAAAAAAAAGGCCGACGGCAGAGAAATTACTTCAGGTTATTGTTATTTTATTATATTAATAGATTACTTGCAAAAGTTATATTTTCCGAAACATCCTCCAAAAAAAATTTTACTCGAAATATGTAGTACACTTAATACTATACTAATATTATATCGAATAAAGTTTTCTTTGGAGGAGACGACTTTTGGAATGTAGCCAAAGAAAATATCTGTATAAAATAATTATCAACGTATATATAGTTTATAGGAGGTTTTTTGAATTGTAGCATGCGTTTTTCCAAGGAGAGATGAGCAAGAGACTGGCTTTAGAATTATTACAAAAAGTGTCGAATCCTAGCCATATGTTCACGGATCTGGAGGCCGATGAAGACGGGGCGGTACCCAATGTTCCGCAAAGAATAGCCTCACGTCACACTGCAAGGCCTAGGCCAAAAAGTCCTATATCGCAACTAGATAGTGATGGTAAGATTAATAATAAATAATGACAAATAAAATAATTAGACAGGATTACGAGTCAAACAGGACTTGTCGTGCTATTAAATACAAATCAATTTAAAATTACATGTATATTTGTCAAATAATAAAATTACAAATGTTTTGACTCATATCGTAATTAGATAATGAATTATGAATAATGTCTTATACTGTGATATAATCATGATTACGGTTTGTCCTACAGATCAAATCAATATTGATGGAGGGACATTACATAGAGATTCTATATCACCATCTGTGGATAGTCCAGCGTGGGATATAATGGATATCATGAATAATGTTAAAGTAAGTTCATTATAGACGTTTATTAATTAGACATCTAAATCCAATTTTAAGAACTTCACGCTATTTTTTCATGTAAACTACTAGCCTGTGGATTACTATTTCATAAGTATAGATCGCGTAGCTTTTATATGAAGTAAATGTCATGATGTGCAATGACGTGACAGCTCTGGAGCGCCATATTGCACTAAGAAATGGTAAAGTAGAACTCAATTTGGAAATTTTTTATCATTTTCAGTATAAATTCTCACAGGCACGTATTAACACGTATACTTTAACCCTGGAAAAGGATTTTCAAATCTGTGAATGATAAAAAAAGTATTATTTATGATACAAAAATTATATGGTTTAGTCGGTGATACAGACGACTTTAGGATCCCCTTAAATATGTTTTTTTCAAGTGCGATTTATGTCAATAATATTAAAAGTCTGATTTTTGCTTATATGTACAAGCAGGTCGTGCATAATTGTGATGTGCACCCAGACTGTGGGATTGGATCTGCATTTGAAGACATCCAGGAAAAGTAAGTTTGTTTTATACTTTATTCCATATCAATTTTTATCACACACGGTGTGCGGAAAACATCAAAGAGATATCGAGGCTTCTTTGCTACTTTCACTAATATAATAGTTGTTGTTTTGTTCGAAATTTATTTACCTTATAAATATACAAGGTCCAAAAAATCGTTATATAAAAAGATTTTAGATACAAACTTATACAATGTACATATTTATACAATATATATTGTCTCATCTTTTAGTACACATATTGATTAAAGAGAAATAGATTAAATTATAAATTTAATTATAAAGTTAACAAACAATCATTATATATATACATTGCTAAACAAGACAGCAATATAGTATACACTGTATTATAAAAATCACAAATATCTTACTCTCTTGGCTGATAATAACTAATAAATAAATTGCATATGGCATGTGCTTATGCTTGTATCATGTCATACTAGTAGTTGTCAAAGTAAGAGAAATATGTACATACATTCATTACTTTTACATTTGAAACAACAGCACATCATATTCTAAAGTATTTTGATAAGTAAAGAATTTTTTTAATTAAGCAAAACAGAAATTATTGAAAAGCTATTGAATTTTTTAGTATAAGTATATATATTCTTTACAGTCTTTTTTTTCCTCTATATTATTATTATTATTATCATCGTTGTTGTTATTATTATTATTATTAAATTATTTTTCTCTGTTTTTATTGCGAATCAAAACTATTTTATTCGAAAAATTGGTAATATATTTTTCAAAAGTATACTTATTTTTGTATCAGAATACTTGGTGCGAACTTTAAGACAAATAAAATATTGAAACGTAGTAAAACTGGCACAGAGATGTTTCATATGTCTTTAAGGTAATACAATTATTGGTTTGAAGTGAAAAGTTTCTTACTTTTGATATAACAAAAATATGTTTTTATATACTAAAACAAATTATGCTATTTACACTTCCTCAATTCTATAAAATGCTTGAAAAGCTGGTTTGTCCTATGAATTATGGAAAAATCTTATATACTATTAAACAAACTAAATTATAATTCTCTCTAAAAAAAAATATAATATAATGTAAAAATTTAAGTAAAGTAATTTTAAAAAGTATGAAAGTCAAACATACACATTTAAAGAATTAAACATACTAGATATTTAATCAATCTTTTAATCAAATATAAATAATTAAATAGTATAAATAATTATATGTATATATATAATTGTATACATATATGAAAAGAAACTTTTGTATGTACTGCACAGACGAAACAGATTTAATATTATATTATACAAAATCATAATTCCCTACTTTTTGCATGTTAAACAATAAATGTGATTGTTTGTATGATGTGCATGATTGATAGCAGAGTTGTTATGCATTTTCTTAAAATAAGAATGATCACTTTGAAGTATATATACATCAACATCATTTATCTACTAGAATTACTTATTTTCGGGTAAAATTCAATGAAAAAAATTATTTATTATATTAATAATTAATTATATATAAATTATAATTAATTATAAATTATATTAATAATGAAAAAAAGGTTCCAATGAAACTTTTTTAAACCGTCGTTTAGTTTGTATAGAAATTGAGATTATTACCACAGTCTTATATATAAACGTATATATAACGTGTAGTATTCAATTATTAAATAATAATTATATTTCCTGCCTCTGTCAATCCTTACTCCTGTAGCACACCTGCGTTTTGTTTGTAATCCATTCCAATTATTCTTTGTATATTTTTAATTTTTCTGATCAGTTTGTAATTCTAATAATTTCTCCCAACAGGAGTCTATTGCAGTACATTGATGAGGAGTTGTTGCTAAGGTATTGGCAGGTAACCCTTTTCCCTTGCACCTTGCACCTTGCACTTATATCTCCTAATTCTGTGGATAATTTTTGTAAATTGCATTATTTAAACAATTAATTTATCATTTACTCGCTTACGTTTCTTTGATACCTTGTTTCTCTTATTGCAAATATTTAAATGCATGGTTTAAATTAACAGATACTTTTCTTTAATTTTTTAAATTTTTATTTATAATTCCTCGAAATATATATTTTCAAATTATCCCTTAAGTCACATTTAAATTGAATAGGGAGTCATATATTTTATAAGTCATATATTTGAGAAAACTAATTTAATTAATTACATTTTGAAAAACGGAAATATATGTTTATATACAATTTAATATAACCGAACGACAATGAAGTTATATACAATAATAAAATTGATTAAATGATACAAATAATGTAATTATATAATAAAACTATAATTATATAATAACAAAGGAGGCAGCACAACTAAATATTGCAATTCAGTCAACATCCACAATCTACAAAGAAACATTAATGTGCACAATTTTTAGATAGACGTAGAATATTTCTTTCTTATCACGTATTTGATGTTATTTGTTGCATGTTAGTTTTTTTCAACATTCTGAACAACACAAACTATTTTTACAGTACATATATCAGTCAAACTGGTGAAGGATATGTGTGTGCGCGCGCACGTGCGTGCGTGCGTGTAATCATATATATAATAAGATGTTTATTAATTAAATTTTCTATTATATAGGATAGCCTATATATATTCTATTACAGAGGATAATCCTCTTTCAATTCTATACTCTTTAATTAATATGATTATAATGTTAGTGTATTTATATCACACTGGAAATTTAAAGTACGATTTACGAAAATCAATTGCAATTATAATTGTTATAGATTTTCTTAATATATTGCGGATAAAATATTAAAATCACATTTTATATAGAAACATATGTGTGTGACGTCCATTAAATCATCTCGTAATAAATCCTTATGTAACACATTTAAAAAGCAGAAACAGTATTAATCGCTTTATCAAGTATTTTGTCTTTTAATGTATTTCATTTACTTACGATATTATATTAAATACATTGTTTATAAAACTCCAAAACATAATTATAAGTAGTCCCACAAAATTAGTTTACAATTTTATAGTATATGACCACAAAGTTTCACATGTGTACAGGGGGAATGCAATGTCGATGGTTGATGGGCATTGCGACCAGCTATATTCCCTGCAGTAAGTAAATAATGAATTACAGTAAACAATTTAATTTCGGATTTTTCATTTGAGATATTGTAAAAATATGATTTATTTTATTATGGATGACTAATTAAAAACATATAAAATCTAGAGACATATACAGGATCATATTTTACTATGCAAGTAATTATTATTCTACTAATATATTTTATTTAAAATATTTAAATATCCTTTATCCTTTACTAAATCATACAGAGTGACTACTGAGATTGTATTGAAAATACAATAAATTATGATATTTTTTTTCCACCCCATTTCGATAATTGTTTTTTTTATTAGGGACTCATCAATTTCATGCTGACTCATAAATTGGCTTGTATGGTTCAAATAAAATTGACGAGTTTCAAATATCCAACTTTAATAAAATAAAAAAAAAACGATCATTGAAACGAAGGAGAAAAAATATAATGATTTACTTTCAACACAATATCATTAATCATTCTGTACAACTATACGAAAATAGAGATGTTTGATTCTATTAAGCGGGGAATATTAATGGCTGACGTATCTGTTTCTGCGTATGATTTGTTTAATTAGCAATACATGTTAATTTATTCCAAAACACCAGGATAAACCTTTTATGTATGTCCAATTTTATTAACACCTTAATAACGCGAGTATGCCTTGTGTACTATAGCTAGAAATATGCAGCTTTACATCTCGTATTTTTCCATCACATCTTGTTCAACTCCTTATTCATTCAAAAAGCTATTATATATCCCAGAAAGCATACATGGTCTAAATGTTTATTTATGATTTATAATATACGTACCATTAACATTTATATCTTGTTTATTTTTTATGTATTATTCATTCTTTGTTAACAACATTTACGTTTCTTCTTTTATAATCATTTAAAGAAAACGATTGTATATTAACATTTATTAAAATTTTCTTTTTTAGAGCTACTCTTCCATTGGGGGAATCTTCGAACGATTGCGAAGTTCATTGTCCATATTATAATGTATCTGGTACGTATGTATCATGAATTGATGAAAAGGATGTTATTATACTCGTATAATCTATAAATAGTCCCCTTCTATATATCTACATGTATGCAAATAAAAAGTAGATTTATATATAGGGTCTCAAGCGAGTCCCAGACGTCACAGCTCCGTGGATGAGTTGTATGGCCTCGTCAATAGTTCTCAGTCTTTAACAGCTGTGAATGGACAACGTCAACGATCATTATCGGACAGCGGCCCTAGGGATGAGCCCGCACAGACAAACGGTATACATCATGAGCTTAGCACTTAAATAATGTAAATATTCACACGACAATATTGCCTAGATAGCTTTTTATTATATAATAAAAATTAGTTTAAGAAATATAATATCCTTGTTAGATTCAATTGTTATTTACTCTAATATCTTATATGTTATCTTTTTCAGGTGACAATGAGATATCAGCTGATCGAGACAGGGAAAGTATGAGTCCCGACTTACTATCAGACACTCCACCTATTCCTCCAAGAAGAAGAGATCGGAAGAGACATACGCCACCAAGACCGATAAGTAATGGATTGCCTCCTACACCGAAAGTGCACATGGGAGCGTGTTTCTCAAAGGTCAGAGAGAGAGTTTACACAAAGTAAAGACTTTATACATATTTAATATCTTTTCGTAAAAAGATTGTCTTATAAATTATATAAATTATAAATTATTTTTTATCGCAGTACATGAATTATTTTCTGTATCTTACATTATATTATAGATTACTGTTCGGTTATATATTATTTTTTAAGTATTATTTGTAAAAATAATTAAAGTAAAGTACATAAAAAATAATACACAAAAAACACTACACAAAAATATTTTTATCACATTGTTCTTCGACAGCTGTTAATAAAATATTTATTATTTTTATTGCAAACATTAATAGGTATTCAATGGCTGTCCACTGAGAATACATTGTACCGCAAGTTGGATTCATCCAGATACAAGGGATCAGCACTTGCTTATCGCAGCGGAAGAAGGAATTTATAATTTGAACTTGAACGAACTTCATGAAACTGCGATAGATCAGCTGTATCCTAGGCGTACTATCTGGATGTATGTTATCAAAGATGTTCTTATGTCTCTTTCCGGTAAGTAGATGTCGACTGTATTGATACTGTTGCATGATAAACTGATTTGTATATTTTAAATATTATGCGTATGTTGTAGGAAAAACGCCTCAGTTGTATAGGCATGACTTGTTAGCAATGCTAAGTAAACAGACTCATAGATTTTCATTGCATATGAATAAAATACCAGAGAGATTAGTTCCTAGAAAGTTCGCTCTAACTACAAAAGTACCGGACACCAAGGGATGTACCAAATGTTGCGTTGGAAGAAACCCGTATAATGGGTGAGTAAAAGCAACACTTGTACTGTTTTTTATGAAAAATATACATATTACTCTTTACAATGAGAAAAAATTTGGTATTTAATACAGAATATTTATCTTATTTCTTGTTTATTAAGTAAAACTTAATAATAAAATAATGGTAATATTTTTCGCAATATATTTAAATTATTTACAGATCTTTAATATGTCATTCATAGACTTTAATGTGTCATTCAACGTATTACTAAGATCCAAGATGCAATGAGCATCAAAAATTGTTAATTTAACTCGTGATAGTATATAAATTTGTACATAGTATATAAATTCACACGAAAATTATAATTGAAGCATTCAATATCCAGCTTGATCGTAAAAGGCTTATTCTCATCGGTAAATAAAATAATGATATATTTTCTAACAGGTACAAATATCTGTGTGGAGCGATGCCAGCAGGTATATTCTTAATGCAATGGTACGACCCATTGAATAAATTTATGCTTTTAAAACATTTTGACTGCGTTCTGCCGTCGCCACTAAATGTCTTTAAGATGATTATCACGCCTGAAATGGAATACCCAATGGTATGTGTATCGGTTAAACAGCCATATCAGCAAAATAAAATAAAGCTGGACTTAATTAATATGAATTCGGGAGCGAGTTGGTTTCATAGTGACGAATTGGAAGATATGGATGGCTCAGGTATGCTTATGTTGTATATGTTCAACAATAACAGTTCACTTTTGTACAAATTTTATCTTCAAAATATCTGAAAATTTGATCTCTATAATCCAGAAAATGTGTCATCTCCTCCATAATAAAAATATTATTTTAGCAACTGTGATACCAAGACGAGAGAATTTGAACGTTATTAACGTTACGCAATTTGAAAAAGATGCAATACTTGTTTGTTACGATAGTGAGTACTGTTAATGAATATTAAATATTCAAAATGTATAGTTATAACAAAAAAAAAATGACAGATGGTATTTATAGTACTTAAAAAAATGACAGGTTCCAATTATGCACCTGGTACAAGGTGTACAAAGGATGTTCACTGACAATAACCAGCGGTAGACTCATATCATCTGTCATTTTTTGTTCTAACTATACATTTTGAATTGTTTTAACTTAATGAATCGATTTCAAAACTAATAGTTTTGATACCTTATATTCAGATATTAAAGATATTTTACCATTATATGATGGTATGTTATTATATTGAATATTTTTGTATTTATAGATATGGTAAAGATGGTAACTTTACAAGGAAAACCCCGTATTAGTAAGAAGCAGTTATCAGAGCTGCAGTTTAATTTCGAAATCGAATCTATCAGTAAGTATAATATATTTCTTTCATTTATAATCTACTCTGTAGTCTTTATAAATGAAAAACAACATAAAAAAATCGTTGAATTGTTAATCAATTTAACTCGTGATATTACTGCGGTAGTTTAGTAGTGTTACGTTTCAAGTCTGAAAAAATTTCGGCGCGCAATCAAAAATCTACATACGTAGTATAAAAAAATTCACACACAACACAACACAAAACTCTATAGAAGCACCCGAGATCCAACTTAGACCGTTGTGGCATATTCTCATCGGTTCGTATGATTTATATTTCCAGTTTGTCTACCTGATAGTGTATTGGCATTTCACAAACACGGTATGCAAGGTAGAAGTTTCAAGAATGGCGAAGTTACACAAGAGATTAGTGATCCGAGTAGAACTTACAGGTTACTTGGCTCAGATAAGTACGTATCTAAATAAAAGCGGCGATTGCATATATTAATCTAATAGAAATTTTGAAGAATAATTCAAGAAGATTAATAATAAAGTTTGCTATTTCTTTTTTTTAATCTCTGAAAAAGATATATCGTGCATTAAGTTTTATATTTGATATTTTATTGATTTATTTATAGAGGAGTTAAATACATGAAGAGAAAACAATTAATCTTATGTCTTGTATAGGGTTGTGATGTTGGAGAGTCACTTAGTTCATAGTGGCACATTGACTGAATCGGAAGGGGCAGACTTGTACATTCTCGCTGGACACGAGGCCAGCTATTGAGTATTGAACCTAAGTAGCGATTACCCGCTGCATGCTCTCACATGATATGTGATTGAACTGCATGTAATGTGAAATCACTACGAGAACGGTGAGATTAAAGTATGCGGAGGTGAAAACTTTACAATTAATTATCATACCACGAATGTATGTGCACAACCGGCACGACCAGCGTGCAATTTAAACGCTGCGATAGTCGCTGTCTCTGTATGATTGATATATCATATAAACTGGTAATTACTCGTGGTAATTTTTTTTTTTAACGAAAGTCTTAGAGCTAAGCAACACTTACAGACATGAGTAAAGTTACGATGAGGGGGAATAGTGAATTTAATGAGAGGACAGAGTTAAGAGAATGCACGCGAATTATCCTTATGCCTAATCAAATGAAGCTAATAGTTACAATACTTCGAGAGGTGTCAGATAAAAATGATTTACTAATGCTATTAGCTATATATACGTATAAATTACGCTCTTATAAATGATTTAAAATTATGAAGAAAGATCTAAAATAATCTCAGGAATATAGCCTTGTCTGTGAAAACGTGAAAATAATAAAAGCTATATTAAGTGGTCCAAAATAACCAGCCGTATCGATGTATTAAAGTACAACAATGTGATATTTTTCTTTAAATTCTTTCCATAGTTTCTACAACAATGCATAGTAAATAAAAATAAATAGAACAATTTATTCCCGAGACTTTGATTTTACTTAAAATATTTTTTGGCAGTAGATATATGATTATAAGAGCGTATTTTATCGAAAATGTTTTCCACGTTTCTCTGATATATTTCTACTACTTAACATAGTAAAATTAGCTAGCATATTGCCTTACTGCAAGAGAATTGTTACATTACATCGCTTTAAACGCGCGAAAATAACAAAGTTCTTGCAGTGCTTTACAAATTACATATTTCCAGTTTTATCTTTCTAGGACTACATTTTATTTAATAACTTTTGGCCTTCGGGATTTGTTTAATCATAATAGCATATAATAGAATAAGAGTGTAAAACGTATCTGTATTTTTAATGATTACAGGATTACTAGACGAGACGATATTTATATTCTTACACGAGAAATCGCGCGTAGTTTTCGAAGGTTAAAGGGTTATCGCTGTATTCAGATAGGACATTCAAATATAATTCAACGAGTTAAACACGTCTTCGTTGTATAATAGAATTATGTTGAATATGAAAATTCAACAGAGCATATACTGAATTCAGTATATGCTCTGTTTTACTTTTCCGAATTACATTTCCAAATTGATTTCTTAACGAAAATATTTTCTCGGTGAAAATCTCTTGGTAATATCATTTTTAAACGATTTATCTAAAAAGACATTTACTTTCCTAGCTGAGAAAGGATTTTCAGATAGAAGGAGATTTCCGATAAAAAGACCTTTTTATTGAAAAAACAATTAATTTAATCTGTTAAAAGCGCATCATTATATGTCCAGAAACGATAGATCATAAAGAAAATAACAACGATAAAGAAGGAAAGTAAATAAGCATACTAAACTTTGAAAGATTTCCATAGGTACGGATTTCTTATAGAAATTATACAATATCGTGTATTAATATGTACGCAGTACAAAATTCTCTCATATTGTCGCATCCTCGAAAACGTGTATATCAAATTTGTACTACTATCGAGCTTCATTTCATTGGGCATGGGATTATCTCGAATGTGTTATTTTATTAAGACATTGTGTTCACCAGTGTCTCTAATTTTGATCGATTGTAAATATGAAACACGGCCAATTTTTGCGCGATTGTACGATTATCTTGAGAATATTCGTCTGCATGTTTGTTATATCTGAATCGTTTTATTTGCGACGTTAATGCGACCGCAATAACGTATTCATGATCGTTAACAGCTTGATTTATACGTAATTTATAATTAATTTATGTTATTTTATAATTTTATAAAATATAATAACATAATTGCATTCTCCGCATAATGCGGATTTATCATTCAGTTAATGCTCTGATGAAGCATCATTGTGATATATGCGACAAAAAGAGGGTACTCAGAATATATAAAACAGCGATATGGGGTCAAGTTCTTTCATCTGTGATTTGGTATCAAAGAATCCAAGTTGCAATTTTCATCATTCGAGTAGCCTTTTCCATAAATCAGTCACGTACAACTGTGCATCAGAGAGCACAATACGCAAATCTGTTTATAGCCACTCTTTCTTTATATCTAGTAATTTTTTACGTTGGTGACGACGATATGGATCATATTTGTGAAACCAAAAGCTAAATACATAACTTCCATGTGATTAGTCTTAAGACTGCGAGATATGCATTTTTCTTTGTTTTTATAATAGAATTTCTTTATTATATCTCGAAGATAAAATACATATGTAGGATTTAGGCATGAGATGAGAAAGTCATCTGTTTTATATTTGCGTCATAAAACTTGACTGATTTTCAGTGTCATTTATATTTAACGAAATTTCAATTTGTGTAAATTCAAATATTTCTGAATATTTGTTGCTGAAGTCCATAGTCAATTTATTTATAAATTTATTGATTGACAACATTAAAAACATTCCTTTTTATTCGAAATATTTAATCAATACTACAGTAGAATCTTTTTCAAAAAATTCACTGTATAATAAGTTATATTCACTAATCGCACAATTAATTTTATTAGTGAAGATTATATTATTTGCCAAATTTTTATTATACATTCAATTATATTTTGATAATGCAAGCAAATAACGTGTTTATTTCATAAAATAAATATACAAATGTTTCGATAAAACTGAGTGGATAGTACATTGGAATGAAACGATTTATTTATATCCAACTGTAAAAAAAATTAAGAGTTTTCGAAAATCAGCCTTGTGAAGTACATAAAAGTGACAAAAAACATATTTTATTTGCTTTTTGATCTCGATATGTGAGGCATATTTGTTGTAAAAATATAATACTTAGAATTTTTTCCACGAATTTCTGTTATCAAGATTTTGAAAGTCGATGTTCTTAATTTGCATCTTTTTAAGGAAGATTGTAAATTGAACTGTAAAGAATTATCAGAGTAAAATGGATAATTATCTGCGGAATGTTAAACTATTTTGATATTTTATATGAATATTTGCTCTACATACTAGAGAGATACTAGAAAGAGTAGATTACTATGTAAAGAAAGTATTACACTATCAAAAGAATAAATTTAATATATATTAGCAAAGTTGTACGAGAATCAATAAATTTTTTTTCTGCTAAATTCCTTTAGGGCAGAAATTATGTGTTTAGACTTGTGTCGAAAGCGCAGTATAGTTTATCCTGATAATATCATATTTTATATTTACAGCAGATTTGAATGTCCGTAAATTTAATAGCATTTTTTTTTTCTTTTTTTAGAAAAATTAAAGATATTTTCTCAGCCATGCTTGGCGGATGGAAAATTTCATTTTGCTGGTAGTTTATTAGCACTTGAACGATATAATTCGTTGTCTTTGATGAATTCCATTCGATGAAATAAAAATTACATAAATACAATGCAGATGCGAGGACAGAAATATATTCGTAATACGTAATTATAATCGTTGCTCTTATGCAATCAAACACCAAGTCAACCGTTTAATCAAATTTTATGCTAACTACACATTATTCACATATACTAGATATAATAGAACGTGCAATGTGTCTTCCCGTACGTATTTGCAGATAACACTGTATGCTAGACGTGTTAAATGTATTCACAATATTAGCAACGTATTTGATAGTGTCCGTCGATTTATCTAGCAACAATCCAGCTTTGTTAATACTAAGAGAATTATATTCGAGCGAATTGTTGTACAAAGTATGAATCTTCTTTTTGCAACAATTCCTCATTTTCTACGACGTTTCACGGTTGTCTAAAAGAGAAAAGTTATTATACGTCGACAAAGAAAGACAAGAGTTATCATTTCACGCAAGATATAATTCAACTAAAAAAATATCCTGAAAGCAGTCTAAGTGCTATTAGAAAATTTAAGACTGTCAAATGTGACAGGATAGAATTTTTTTCTCGTATGAATGATTATTTCGCGTGATCTATACTTCTCTCCGAAGACATACATATATATTTGCGAAATATTTTGATAATGATGGTAAATAGTAACTGAAATGTTACTCGATGTGACTTTTTGTATTATTGTCAAGACAATAATTTTATTCGGAGCGTCGTACACAAATCACGGGAGAAAAAAAAAAGTAGACACATCGGCATAAAAAATATTTAGTACTTATTAAAAAAAAATTTTTGAATTTACAAAGTAGATAAATTAGCGAAGACAAAAAAGATAAAAAGTAAAAAAATTAGAAAGTTTCAATCTCGTGTCACAGACCAAGCATTAGAATCGTGAAAAAATTGATACACACGCGCGCGCGCGATTTGTATAGATTTCACATATCAGTATCCTTGCTAGCAACCGTACACATAACATAAGTGGAGATTTTATTTTTACAAGAGAAGAAAAAACTAGGAGATACGAGTGTAAGACACATCGATGCTTGTTTCTTTGATTATTATATGTATTTATGCAATCAGTACATAAATATTGATACTTTTTTAATTTCCTAGACTTGAATCTTTTTATTTCGAATATATGTGTGTATGCAGTATATTAATTTATTTACTATCTATAGATAAAACAAAATTAAAATGTTCTTTAATGTTAAAAGAAATACATTAACATGCGGTTAATATTCTGCTACAGCTGTTGCATTTTATCTGCAGTGTCGTATACCCGTGCTTTTTTTTTTTAGCGATCTCCGAAAAAATTTTTATGTACACAGACATGTACACATACCTATATAAGTGCTAGGACAATTAATACAGCGATAAAATGTACCTGTATATCGACCATATTAATGGTTTGCCTCTATATATTGATCGTTTTGATTGTTTGATTCTGAAACTTCGAAATTAACATAACAAATATGTAGTGAGATAGTAACTGTTTATTCCTTTCAGCTGTCCCGCGAATCTGTTCAGACTGAATTAATTGCTCTTAAAGACATCATCCCAATATGTTCATATCTTTGGCGTTCTTCAGTTAATATATAAATGCAAATAGGATTTAGAAAATTACTAGAGAAAAGAAACAATTACTTACAAATAGAAGTATCTGTTTGATAAAATTTCTAAAATTCCTCTAATCTTCTTTTCTGATAAGACACACTTTTCTGAGATACATTAAGATTTTTAAGTTACGAATTCTTTATAATTATTATTATACGCGTTTTATACTTAATTATTTAAAAAATGTATTGAAAAAAGCTCTTTTCTTTAAAAAGTCAATATTTATTTTAGGGTACAAGAATCTTAGTAATAAAATGAATATTTCTGGTACTTCCA